GACCCAACAAATAGTCACAATAAATTAAAACTGCAATTTGTTTGCATTGGTTTTTTGAATGATAATATTAAATGGTGATAGTAATACCTAATTCAGACTCTAAAGTGAAGTGAAAAATAAAAGGAAATTCCGTTGTAATTTAATGTGATCTTGTGCGACACAACTTAAAAACTTTCACTGTTTTTACTTGTCGTTTAAAGCGGATGTGCCTGAAATGATTCAATGGCTTTTAGAGACTTTTTAAACATATAGATGTGGGTCTTACTTCACCTCATTCTTTACTGTGTTTTCTGCCTTTTCGTTAATTCAAAACTTTCACACTATTCTAGCTGAACTTGAAAAGCAGAGCACGAGCCTGTCTGCTTTGTGAGGCTGATTTAACCAATTTACAAAGATACGGAAGGTTCATGTCAAATCTAGTTGTACGGTAATATTGAACTAACCAAGATTAGTTGATTCACATAGACCATTTGATCACATGTGGTGCTTTGTACTCCGATTTCAATGGCTCATTTTGTTCTAGTGATGAGTCTCCAAGAGATGTTTTACACTCTGGAAGACTCACTGTCCTTCATTCTGAAAAATACGTGTCTCTAGTGGCATGCAACGGCTGGTTTGGGTATCAATCACGTCAACTACAAAAGTCGTGATGGAAAATAAGTCAACAAATCTCGACTACCTGGTTCGTTTTAAAAGATGGCAGCCATTTTTTACGTACTTTACAAAAGTGTGTAGTTCACTTTGCACTAATAATGACCACCAGATTTACTTGCGATGAGAAATGGTTAAGTGAAAGAACATGGCATTGGATGCTCCTGAGTAATTTATTGACTCACTGACCACCCCACACATCTAGGACACACAGCACTTAATGATATCCGCAAGCATGCGTCCCCTTTCCCGTATGCTTGTAGAATAGCGACTCATTCCTCTATTAGGAATTATTTGCTTCCCGAAGGCCAAACATCAATTGAGGTTGAGATCCATCTTCTCGATTCGAGTCAGTATTGTTTCAATGCATTAACAATATTCCTTCTTCATGATCTTAAGGAACAGTCAGGACTATTGAAATAGTTAGAGGACGATCCTCTTTTTACTGCAACAAGGTAATGCAGCCCGGTACCAGGACCTGTAACCCTATGCGGCGCAGCCAATCGCAACGCAATTTAACATATCGCACTTCACCCACCGAGAAACTTACCCCTTAGAAGATTTTGACTTTAGTCGGGATGAGAGAAATTACATGCTTGCCTTCCTCATCCCCATTTTCGTCTTCATTCGAAGTAACTTTCTCATACTTCCTTAAGTAGTGCATCCCACTTCCTGGCATTGGCATTAGATAGTCATATTATCCCATGCCAAGTAGAACGGAGAAGAATAAAGTAAAATAGAGCAGAAGAGAGCAGAGGAGAGAAGAGATCAATGGGAGATGGAGGAGGAAGTGATAGAAGAGCGTTGGGAATGGAAGGGGGAAGAGAGAACGGGAGGTGGGCAGAGCCAGGATGTTTGCATCCAGAAGCAAGCCTTTTACAATTATGCGCCTGGTTAGTATCTCGTTAGAAAAGATTAACAGATCATGGTGCTCAATTTTCAATAAATAAAGCAATTCAAGAAGTTTTCTTCCACCGTTTAACTTTTTGTGTTTTACAGGAACTTATTTGTGCATCTTACATTTAACGCTCAATTAGTAAGAATATGATGTTTTCAGGCATTTTTTAGTAGTTTTAATTTATCCCTTTGTCCTCTTACGTATTTTGAAAATCAATTCTGCAAATAGCTCTATTTTAACATTAATTAGAGGGCTTTTGGGGTAAGGGTGTGATTTGTGTTGCTGTAGACTTGCAAATGTTAGCAGATTTTCGCTATTCTAGGAGAAATTTGAAGTTATTATCTGTGAAAAGTCCAAAAACTAAACTTTTTATTTGTATTTTAAGAATAAACCAAAGTAAATAATCAAAACTTGCTCTTTTAATTAAATTGGTCGGATCGTTTTCTTAACAGTAGATCGTCAATAGCGTTTTGGAATGGATAGGCGTGGAATACAGACAAATGATAGCCTTGAAGGTTTAATGAAGGTTTTCTTTGAAATGGAATGGTTCTTGCATATTGATTCTTTGGCCTTTCTGCGTCATAGTACCAATCCCCTGTAATTACTAAATTTCGTCATAAATTACAAGGAATTTTGTAGCCAAAACGACATTTGCAGTAGACACATTATTTGTGCGATCTTATATGTTTCGGCGGTAATTATTCTGTACTGCCAGCTCAGGCGGAAGACGTGGACAGAACACGGAACAGAACAGCAACCGACTCAAGTAGCTAACCACGTTTATTCTCTCTCTGTCGTAGTTAGCCAGACGGGTGGTCAATCTTTCAGTCAAGAAAGTAAAATATTGAAAAATGGACAAGAAAACACCAAGAAAGTTGGCGATAGCTACTGTGAGTAGTTTGTAGTTGTGGTAACTACTTAGAGACATTGTTTTCTATTAGCGCATTCTGAGATAGCATTTGAATGTTTCCCATGTTTTGATGAGGATAGTGAAGGAAAGTTAGGCCCAGATTTTGAAATATTCCTTATATATGCAGTAAGAGTAAATAAAGCTCCCTAAAAAATACCGAAATTCGTCAACAGCAGCGCAAATAAACAAAGGATTGTGGTTTGTTTGACGGTATGAATTTACATAAATCAAACATTCCCATCATTAATGTTTGCTTCTTGGTAACTTTCTGGCCCCATCTTACGCTATTTATTGTAACTTTTGGTCTCGAATGAAACACCATCAAATAGGTACTTCGTAGACCTAAAAAATAATCTTTCTGCTGGAGCGTGCTGAGCCCTAACCCAGAAAGACTGTGTCAGGACGATCAAGTTGCAATGGCAAAACTTTCCAGACTAAAGACGTCTCGACGATATTAGCAAAAGGCTAAAATAAGCGCATAATCATGTCAAAGGCCTGGGTCTACAAATAAATGTAGTACTATTCTTTTAAAATATGCGCCTTTCTTTGTAAAATCAAAAGTTCTGATTTAATCCGACCCCCACTTGTATTGTCATAATGCTCAGCATTTGCTTTCACGCCAAAATGCCTTCTTAAAAGTGTTGGACTTTCCTACTGAACTCTCATTTCAAATACACTTTATCCTTCAAGGTGACACTTATTTTACAAAGCCACAGTGTATTCGAAAGAGATTCCACCACCTCCATTCCGATGGGAATGTCGCTAGTTGAACGATATTATGACAGAGGGGATCCTAGATGAAACATTCTTTAAAGAGAATCGAATGTTTCACACGTGTTATAATCTCTTACTAATGAACGTATTCCGTTTTTCACCTCTTGAAAATTTAACATCAAAGTTATACAAAGTTTCATTATTTCCACATCAAAATGACACCAATTTCTCAGCACTTTGTCTCTCTTCGTCTAACTCACGATAAGTTTCAGTGCCTCTCTAAGCCGCTCTGCATGTACACATGTGGGCTAAGCACACTGACTGCTCAATGCGAACCTGATTGGACCTCGGCTAAGGCCATAAACTTTATATAGGTCTTGCAGCTTCCTTTTGGCCCCTTAGCTTTCATTGTGACTTTCTTTCCTACCATGGCAGCTCGTTCTGTCCTCATTCTCGCAGCGCTTTTAAACCTTGCTTTCCTAAACGTGGAGAGTAGAACCATTGCCGGACCAAAGTTTTTCTCAAACGCTTCAACTATTTACATGAAATCAAAGATCGGCACAACGATTAAGTCGGCCTCGCTAAAAGATGCTAAAAAGGAGGGGGAAGAGGTGGGGAAAGAGGAACTACCTGACCCCATTAGCGCCGTTGCAGTCGAGTCAGCAAACAAAACTCTGAACCCAACGCATAATGAGAAAGTGGACGAATTCATTGAAGAGAGTGATTTTGATGATGGGTCAAAGAAAGAAGGTAGTAGTGACGTTAGCGAAGACAAAAAAATCCGCATTTTACAACAGTATGTTTCAATCCATGGAAAACGAAGTAAATGTGCTGATGTTTTTTATGGTTGCAATGGTGTTTTACGGGACGATGATGATAGCGAAGAGCTTGATTATGAAGCAAATGAAGTTGACAATGGGTATTATGATCCAAAGAGAAAATCGGCTTTTAACGAGGATAATAAGGAAGTGAAGGATGGGGAAGGACATGATATTTATGATGACATCGATTTTGATAATATCGAAGACGACGATGAAGATGACAAAGAGGATGTTGAAGAAGACCAGGAAAACATGGAGGATTTGGAAGGTACCATTGTTAAGGATAATATCAGCAGTGATAATGCTGACGATAATAACGAGAACAAAAGCGGGAATGAAAATGATGAGGCTGAGAATGCCAGTGTCGACAAGGAGAAGAACTTTTAATAAGGATGTGATGTCGATGAAGCTGACAAAGAAAGTTTATTCAAGGCCGCACATAATAATTTTAGTATCTACCTTTATTCTCAAAATTTCGTTATGCCTACTATTCATTTTACCGATTTGATTGTTTGGATGAAAGTATGGATAGCATAAACTAGTGAATTTTTTTCATTTATCTGAGTTTTGCCTTTTTTGGGAAGGCATTAACAAGTCTATGAGAGAAATCTACCCTCATGCCCTATCCTTTTTTCTTTCCCACAAGGGAAACCATAGTCATTACTTTGGTCTTTTTTCGAATCCAGTTCATGTCCATCTTAGCAAATGAATCATATATATCTGGCCCACGTATACAGGTGAAAAAATGGGACAGTCGCATATTTGTGTTTGTTGATAGCAGAAGGGTTAGGGAGCTACATTTGGCATATTAGAAGGACAAATTCAGATGTATCCATTTACGGGAGTTTGAGAGAGCGTCTAGTTAAGTGTTTGCGAATCATAAAGTGATTGGTAGCTATGTTTGGTTAAAAATAAATCTTCGAAAAGATGTGATTACTGATTTATGGTAGACAATTATTCAAGAGAATCATTTGTACCCGTGATCGAGTGCGATCATTATGACATACATACACAAACTACCGGTAGCAATTGCAGAATGAATATGAACAATCAGTAGAAAACTAGGCACTTGTAAATGTTCTACGAATATCGTTAGCTAATGGAATTGCCAAGTGCATAAGTGTTGAGGCGCGAGAACAAGGAACGATCCTGTGGTAAGCCTAGCCAAGAACACGCACGCAGAATGGCGGTAACCTTAGTCAAGCCTGGTGATTGGTCCTTTTGTGGCTTGAAGACCAAGCAGAAGCTCATTCATGAGTTAACAGGATCAAATGGACTCCTGATCAAAGATTACACTTAGTTGGTAGTGGAGTGATGACTGTGACATTGACACAGGTAGCTCGATTTAATCACCGTTCATCTGTATACAAACCAGTAGTTTCACAAGATATTGGGTACGACAGTGTGTCACTTTTCCTCATAACTTATAACCTTTTTCATGATTGAGCCTCACCAGACATGCAAAATAAGGCCGCAGCACAAACTGTGTCGACCCAACAAATAGTCACAATAAATTAAAACTGCAATTTGTTTGCATTGGTTTTTTGAATGATAATATTAAATGGTGATAGTAATACCTAATTCAGACTCTAAAGTGAAGTGAAAAATAAAAGGAAATTCCGTTGTAATTTAATGTGATCTTGTGCGACACAACTTAAAAACTTTCACTGTTTTTACTTGTCGTTTAAAGCGGATGTGCCTGAAATGATTCAATGGCTTTTAGAGACTTTTTAAACATATAGATGTGGGTCTTACTTCACCTCATTCTTTACTGTGTTTTCTGCCTTTTCGTTAATTCAAAACTTTCACACTATTCTAGCTGAACTTGAAAAGCAGAGCACGAGCCTGTCTGCTTTGTGAGGCTGATTTAACCAATTTACAAAGATACGGAAGGTTCATGTCAAATCTAGTTGTACGGTAATATTGAACTAACCAAGATTAGTTGATTCACATAGACCATTTGATCACATGTGGTGCTTTGTACTCCGATTTCAATGGCTCATTTTGTTCTAGTGATGAGTCTCCAAGAGATGTTTTACACTCTGGAAGACTCACTGTCCTTCATTCTGAAAAATACGTGTCTCTAGTGGCATGCAACGGCTGGTTTGGGTATCAATCACGTCAACTACAAAAGTCGTGATGGAAAATAAGTCAACAAATCTCGACTACCTGGTTCGTTTTAAAAGATGGCAGCCATTTTTTACGTACTTTACAAAAGTGTGTAGTTCACTTTGCACTAATAATGACCACCAGATTTACTTGCGATGAGAAATGGTTAAGTGAAAGAACATGGCATTGGATGCTCCTGAGTAATTTATTGACTCACTGACCACCCCACACATCTAGGACACACAGCACTTAATGATATCCGCAAGCATGCGTCCCCTTTCCCGTATGCTTGTAGAATAGCGACTCATTCCTCTATTAGGAATTATTTGCTTCCCGAAGGCCAAACATCAATTGAGGTTGAGATCCATCTTCTCGATTCGAGTCAGTATTGTTTCAATGCATTAACAATATTCCTTCTTCATGATCTTAAGGAACAGTCAGGACTATTGAAATAGTTAGAGGACGATCCTCTTTTTACTGCAACAAGGTAATGCAGCCCGGTACCAGGACCTGTAACCCTATGCGGCGCAGCCAATCGCAACGCAATTTAACATATCGCACTTCACCCACCGAGAAACTTACCCCTTAGAAGATTTTGACTTTAGTCGGGATGAGAGAAATTACATGCTTGCCTTCCTCATCCCCATTTTCGTCTTCATTCGAAGTAACTTTCTCATACTTCCTTAAGTAGTGCATCCCACTTCCTGGCATTGGCATTAGATAGTCATATTATCCCATGCCAAGTAGAACGGAGAAGAATAAAGTAAAATAGAGCAGAAGAGAGCAGAGGAGAGAAGAGATCAATGGGAGATGGAGGAGGAAGTGATAGAAGAGCGTTGGGAATGGAAGGGGGAAGAGAGAACGGGAGGTGGGCAGAGCCAGGATGTTTGCATCCAGAAGCAAGCCTTTTACAATTATGCGCCTGGTTAGTATCTCGTTAGAAAAGATTAACAGATCATGGTGCTCAATTTTCAATAAATAAAGCAATTCAAGAAGTTTTCTTCCACCGTTTAACTTTTTGTGTTTTACAGGAACTTATTTGTGCATCTTACATTTAACGCTCAATTAGTAAGAATATGATGTTTTCAGGCATTTTTTAGTAGTTTTAATTTATCCCTTTGTCCTCTTACGTATTTTGAAAATCAATTCTGCAAATAGCTCTATTTTAACATTAATTAGAGGGCTTTTGGGGTAAGGGTGTGATTTGTGTTGCTGTAGACTTGCAAATGTTAGCAGATTTTCGCTATTCTAGGAGAAATTTGAAGTTATTATCTGTGAAAAGTCCAAAAACTAAACTTTTTATTTGTATTTTAAGAATAAACCAAAGTAAATAATCAAAACTTGCTCTTTTAATTAAATTGGTCGGATCGTTTTCTTAACAGTAGATCGTCAATAGCGTTTTGGAATGGATAGGCGTGGAATACAGACAAATGATAGCCTTGAAGGTTTAATGAAGGTTTTCTTTGAAATGGAATGGTTCTTGCATATTGATTCTTTGGCCTTTCTGCGTCATAGTACCAATCCCCTGTAATTACTAAATTTCGTCATAAATTACAAGGAATTTTGTAGCCAAAACGACATTTGCAGTAGACACATTATTTGTGCGATCTTATATGTTTCGGCGGTAATTATTCTGTACTGCCAGCTCAGGCGGAAGACGTGGACAGAACACGGAACAGAACAGCAACCGACTCAAGTAGCTAACCACGTTTATTCTCTCTCTGTCGTAGTTAGCCAGACGGGTGGTCAATCTTTCAGTCAAGAAAGTAAAATATTGAAAAATGGACAAGAAAACACCAAGAAAGTTGGCGATAGCTACTGTGAGTAGTTTGTAGTTGTGGTAACTACTTAGAGACATTGTTTTCTATTAGCGCATTCTGAGATAGCATTTGAATGTTTCCCATGTTTTGATGAGGATAGTGAAGGAAAGTTAGGCCCAGATTTTGAAATATTCCTTATATATGCAGTAAGAGTAAATAAAGCTCCCTAAAAAATACCGAAATTCGTCAACAGCAGCGCAAATAAACAAAGGATTGTGGTTTGTTTGACGGTATGAATTTACATAAATCAAACATTCCCATCATTAATGTTTGCTTCTTGGTAACTTTCTGGCCCCATCTTACGCTATTTATTGTAACTTTTGGTCTCGAATGAAACACCATCAAATAGGTACTTCGTAGACCTAAAAAATAATCTTTCTGCTGGAGCGTGCTGAGCCCTAACCCAGAAAGACTGTGTCAGGACGATCAAGTTGCAATGGCAAAACTTTCCAGACTAAAGACGTCTCGACGATATTAGCAAAAGGCTAAAATAAGCGCATAATCATGTCAAAGGCCTGGGTCTACAAATAAATGTAGTACTATTCTTTTAAAATATGCGCCTTTCTTTGTAAAATCAAAAGTTCTGATTTAATCCGACCCCCACTTGTATTGTCATAATGCTCAGCATTTGCTTTCACGCCAAAATGCCTTCTTAAAAGTGTTGGACTTTCCTACTGAACTCTCATTTCAAATACACTTTATCCTTCAAGGTGACACTTATTTTACAAAGCCACAGTGTATTCGAAAGAGATTCCACCACCTCCATTCCGATGGGAATGTCGCTAGTTGAACGATATTATGACAGAGGGGATCCTAGATGAAACATTCTTTAAAGAGAATCGAATGTTTCACACGTGTTATAATCTCTTACTAATGAACGTATTCCGTTTTTCACCTCTTGAAAATTTAACATCAAAGTTATACAAAGTTTCATTATTTCCACATCAAAATGACACCAATTTCTCAGCACTTTGTCTCTCTTCGTCTAACTCACGATAAGTTTCAGTGCCTCTCTAAGCCGCTCTGCATGTACACATGTGGGCTAAGCACACTGACTGCTCAATGCGAACCTGATTGGACCTCGGCTAAGGCCATAAACTTTATATAGGTCTTGCAGCTTCCTTTTGGCCCCTTAGCTTTCATTGTGACTTTCTTTCCTACCATGGCAGCTCGTTCTGTCCTCATTCTCGCAGCGCTTTTAAACCTTGCTTTCCTAAACGTGGAGAGTAGAACCATTGCCGGACCAAAGTTTTTCTCAAACGCTTCAACTATTTACATGAAATCAAAGATCGGCACAACGATTAAGTCGGCCTCGCTAAAAGATGCTAAAAAGGAGGGGGAAGAGGTGGGGAAAGAGGAACTACCTGACCCCATTAGCGCCGTTGCAGTCGAGTCAGCAAACAAAACTCTGAACCCAACGCATAATGAGAAAGTGGACGAATTCATTGAAGAGAGTGATTTTGATGATGGGTCAAAGAAAGAAGGTAGTAGTGACGTTAGCGAAGACAAAAAAATCCGCATTTTACAACAGTATGTTTCAATCCATGGAAAACGAAGTAAATGTGCTGATGTTTTTTATGGTTGCAATGGTGTTTTACGGGACGATGATGATAGCGAAGAGCTTGATTATGAAGCAAATGAAGTTGACAATGGGTATTATGATCCAAAGAGAAAATCGGCTTTTAACGAGGATAATAAGGAAGTGAAGGATGGGGAAGGACATGATATTTATGATGACATCGATTTTGATAATATCGAAGACGACGATGAAGATGACAAAGAGGATGTTGAAGAAGACCAGGAAAACATGGAGGATTTGGAAGGTACCATTGTTAAGGATAATATCAGCAGTGATAATGCTGACGATAATAACGAGAACAAAAGCGGGAATGAAAATGATGAGGCTGAGAATGCCAGTGTCGACAAGGAGAAGAACTTTTAATAAGGATGTGATGTCGATGAAGCTGACAAAGAAAGTTTATTCAAGGCCGCACATAATAATTTTAGTATCTACCTTTATTCTCAAAATTTCGTTATGCCTACTATTCATTTTACCGATTTGATTGTTTGGATGAAAGTATGGATAGCATAAACTAGTGAATTTTTTTCATTTATCTGAGTTTTGCCTTTTTTGGGAAGGCATTAACAAGTCTATGAGAGAAATCTACCCTCATGCCCTATCCTTTTTTCTTTCCCACAAGGGAAACCATAGTCATTACTTTGGTCTTTTTTCGAATCCAGTTCATGTCCATCTTAGCAAATGAATCATATATATCTGGCCCACGTATACAGGTGAAAAAATGGGACAGTCGCATATTTGTGTTTGTTGATAGCAGAAGGGTTAGGGAGCTACATTTGGCATATTAGAAGGACAAATTCAGATGTATCCATTTACGGGAGTTTGAGAGAGCGTCTAGTTAAGTGTTTGCGAATCATAAAGTGATTGGTAGCTATGTTTGGTTAAAAATAAATCTTCGAAAAGATGTGATTACTGATTTATGGTAGACAATTATTCAAGAGAATCATTTGTACCCGTGATCGAGTGCGATCATTATGACATACATACACAAACTACCGGTAGCAATTGCAGAATGAATATGAACAATCAGTAGAAAACTAGGCACTTGTAAATGTTCTACGAATATCGTTAGCTAATGGAATTGCCAAGTGCATAAGTGTTGAGGCGCGAGAACAAGGAACGATCCTGTGGTAAGCCTAGCCAAGAACACGCACGCAGAATGGCGGTAACCTTAGTCAAGCCTGGTGATTGGTCCTTTTGTGGCTTGAAGACCAAGCAGAAGCTCATTCATGAGTTAACAGGATCAAATGGACTCCTGATCAAAGATTACACTTAGTTGGTAGTGGAGTGATGACTGTGACATTGACACAGGTAGCTCGATTTAATCACCGTTCATCTGTATACAAACCAGTAGTTTCACAAGATATTGGGTACGACAGTGTGTCACTTTTCCTCATAACTTATAACCTTTTTCATGATTGAGCCTCACCAGACATGCAAAATAAGGCCGCAGCACAAACTGTGTCCTTCACACAGAGTAAATGTGTCTTGGTGGCTTGGTTTTATTGCCACCGTCTCATCAGCGCTACAAATACCACTTCTTCACTCAGATCATCAATTCTCAAACAAGTTACTTAGAAATATGTTTGTTGGGTT